TAGTTCCGAAAATACAACGACGGTCACTGCAAAGATCTATCTACATCAGATATTTTGATTTTGACGGTTTCACCAACTTTTTCCTTACAAATTTTTTTTTTTTTTATGCTTTTTGATCTTTTAAGATGCTTCTTTCATTTGATTCGCTTACATTTTTAAATTTGCACCTGACTGTTCTTACGGTAGTTCTTTATTTATTTATTCTATAATCTATTTTTACTTCTTAAATTTTTTCATTAATCAATGTTTTATCAACTTCACATCGATTTCCAGTATTCATGGATGTAGCTTCTAAATCTTCTTCGGTTTTTAATCTATTAATTATTGATATTAGAAGTACCAATGATTTTAATCCAATTTTTGCACTACAATCAAACATTACTTCATATGGGCCGTAAACCATTGCCCGATAGTCTACTTTGCTCGTAACATATATATATTTAGTTATGTATACGCTTGTGTGACGGAGTAAGCACTAGTCGCGTGTGGGTTGCATAACAACAACATCATAACGATAGTACAAGAATGAGATGAACATTGTACATATCGCGCGAGACGACGTTTACAGGATTTTATCATAAAAATCGTTTATTATACTAAGTTATTTTCTATGTAACCGACGCATGGTGTCGGAGATGAATTTTGAGATTACTGTGATCGCAGTATTATTATTAAAAAATATAACACCATAACGGATGCGATGGCCGAATGCGATTGCTACGGGAAATTCGGCCATTATTTCGTTTTTACCGTACCTTTTCACCCGTGCTGCTACGGCACATTTTTGTGGCCGAACTAATGAGAAGGCAACGCGGGTGCATCGCGATGATAACGATAATTATTGTAATTATAAAAAAAATATTTTAATAATAATAGCACGGTGAATAACGATGGTTAACAGAGTAGGCTGTTAAGGAGTAGGCTGATATTGCGATTGTTGCGCGTCGGGGAACGGTCTGGAAATAATAATATTTTTTAACAAACGGTGAAATCCGCACAAGACGAAAAACATTAATTTTTCTCGGCCCTGAGTACACGCGATTCCGTCTCGGATACACATACAGCAGTGCGGATACGTACCTAATACTAATAATATAACAGTATAATTACATTTGAATTAAAATAAAAAGGCAACGATCGCACGGAAAACATGCGATGATCGAACTGCACAAGGTTTGGAAAAATGTAGTAACGCTTCATCAAAAATAATAACTAGAAAACATAATATAACAGAATCATTTTTCTCCGGACCTCGTTTATTCAATATTTCCACCTTTCACACTCCATTAGCATTGACATGACGCTTCCCTTACGTACAGCCTATATCAGTAACATTATGCGCGACTGGTATCGAAGTGTACACAATAAAATTAGCTGTCGAAACAACTAATTGTATTGTTGATAAACTCGGGTGAGGGGGGTTTTGGACTTGAATTATTATTTTTAGAAGGATCCACATGAAGCCACGGAAGATTAAACACCGCTGGCCTAAACCGTTTCGTCACATAGAAATATTATTATATAATATGATAGGCACTCTCGGTCTTCGCAACAGCCTTTCTTCGTCCCCGTACACGACGAATTCAAAAGCTATCGCGAACACCAAACGGATGGATATGACCGATGTATTCCCGAGCGACGGCGGTCATCTATTCGTATATTGTATTACCGCACGCTTTTCGTCGACACGATTTACGTAATGCGTTCCACACGAGTTTTCTCTTTTCGCATTACAATACAATATAATACGCTGTATACACTCGTGGACACGCAAACGCTCAACTGGAATTGCATTAGTGCAATTTATTCATCATCGTCCCGACGGATGTGCAATCCAGTCCAAACGAGGAGATCATTGGCGTCATATAGATTAGAGAAAATATGTAAATAATTAAGGAACCTGGTGGACCTCCCCGTTGCTCTCCATTTACCTTTATCCGATTGGCCATCGCATGCCATACACACACTTGTAACCGAGTGAAATTCTTTGTGCGAAATTCCCACGAGAATAGTAAAATTAAATTAATTAATTAAATAAAATTATAATTTGTTTCCCCTTAAATACGTTTATTAACGCAATGAAGTCATACAATTTCGTATTTGTCTACAGTCAAATCGGGAGATGTTTTTATTACAACTTAACGACCGCTACTACGCCTAATAACAGTATTAAAATCGAGATAATATTTATGAGCCAATAGACAAGAACTGCTAGGATTTATTGATCAGATTATTGGTACACTTTTTTTTTTTTTACCGTGAAGCGACGTTTAGTTTTTTCGCGCCCTTCGAATATTCGTGACCAGTTGATTAGCATATACCTCAAAACGAAGTACTCGCACCGTACTATCTAACGGTATATGTGACAGAATCAATTATTTTGATAGGGCAGTTTTAATTTTAAAAACATTGTTAATTCTTTTTTTTTCTATCATTAATTTGAGCTATATATTATATGGAGTAATTTAGCCACTCATTGTATACTAAAGAAAACAATTCGCAGTGCTAGGAAATATTTAAAAAATATTATAACCTATTGTTTCACAAATGTTGTGCACAATTAGTTAAAATCCCTTTTTTAATTTCGAGTACTCACCGTGCAAAAATATTTTTCATTCAATTTATTTTTTACAATACGAAAACTACCCTAATCTTAATTAAGATTTACATGCGTTATAATATCACAGCACTTGTAAACAATTTTACATAATACATAAGATATGCCTCGAAGCATTGTGAAAAACAGTTCCGAGGCCGTCGTTGATTTCAAAGTGAAAAAAAAAACAAAAGATACACTCAAATAACATTGAAAGGGCAAACATATACATTTATTATTAGGAATTTTCTCATATTTTCTTATTTAATAAATTATATATATTGAGGCCTATATTTTAATAAAATTAATATCCGAGTACAAATGGGTTTTCGAACAGTTTTACTTCATCGAATATTTTTAATAAATTAAATATATAAACGTAAAAAGAATAGCATAGGGTATAAAGTATGTTCTGTATAGTGAGCACACAATCGGTTATAAATCATTATTATTATTGCAAAGCTAAATATAAAAAAAAAAAGTCACTGTTACTACTTACGGTTATTATTTATGAAAATGTATGTGTAACGAACGTTGCAATTATAACCAATAATAAAAATAACATGGCATTTGAATATTATGTAATTTATCAGCAATGTTAATTGTTATAATACATACGAATATAAATAAAATTATTTATTTCCTTCTATTGTTGTGTAATAATATGAAACTTCAAAATTAATTATAATACCAATTTCAAACTTTCAAGTTTTTTTTACAACCGTTGTTATGTTAAATCATAATTTGTATAGTAAAAGTACATCTGGTAGTATAAAACTATTTTTTATTTTTATTACACGTTGAACATTAGGCAAGTAATTTATTTTGTTTACATAAACACGTTCAATTCTAAGTGTTCGCATGACATAAGCAAAGGAATTAGAGAATTTATACTGTATTAACTATTTTACATAAAAAACAAAAGTTTCTTTTAAATAGCATTTATACTTTATATCATATCTCATTTTTACGAAATACTCAATTTCATAACTGTTTAACAAAACCTAAAAAAAATTTTCTAATTTTTAATTGAGTAAAAGTTAACACCAGTTATTTTATTAACATACATGCGTACGTATATACGTATCTTAGAAATTAAACAATATTTACAAGTTCTTAATTTAAATCCACAGTGAAAGATAATTATTGAAGAAATCATTAAAGAAATCTCAAAAATAATAATAACTGAGATTATTATTATCGTATCGTTTTATGTTCTGGGTGTGACAAACGACATTATAATTAAGTTACGCAAACGATATGTAGTATGCATTACCACTGTGGACAATGCAACAAAAAAATGACTTATCTGTTGTCGTTATGATATCGGAAGTAGTGCGTAAAAAATCGTATCATCAGCAAATAGTTAACCATATTACATGTTTATATCCAATTCATAGTAAGGATTTGATTTGAATATTATCGATAAAGTATTTAAGAGTCTGTTTGCAAAGAGAAATCGAAACATTGAAATTTACATACGTAAAATCATTATTCTGATAAGTATTTTACTTTTCATCCAGCTAGAGAAATAGAAAATGTGTTCTTCGATTTGGTTCGGTTCGATTATTTCGTATCAAATTTTACCTTTACATTTCATGATAACACAAGACTTCCTCGTCTATAGAACACGATTTCTTCGTCTTATTTTATGAACAAAAAAATTAAAAAATCATTCTTTAAATAATGTAAACATAAAAAAGTACCTGTTGCTAACAATGATTTCGATATGCCATTATAAATAACAATATTTATATAGTTCGATGAAAAACTAAATAAATAAATTATAACTAAACGGATTATAAAATATTATGCATAAATGTTTAAATATAAAAATAACTGAAACTAAATTCCGAAATACATTTATCCATTTCACGGTAATACTATTTCAGTAATCATCCTTTTCAGTTATGAATATACGAGTATACTGTAGTTTAAAGTACGTAACTTAATTTCGTTTATTTTATTCAAACATTAGGTGCACAGCTTAAAATAAACACATTTGTCGGTAAATCGACACATAAGATTCAAAAATTCATGCTAATAATTTTTATTCGTTTTCTTATTTATATTTTATAAACTCGTATACTCGATATTATATTTTTATTTTTCATAATTTTATTTATCAATTGTTTATGTAACATTTATGTTAATTATGATTAATTATTATTAATTATGATGGCTTATGTATATAGTTACCGTTTAAATCGCTATAAGACAAACATTTGCTAATTTTAATTCTTATGATACAGTTCATTTTATGGTATTATATGATTCTCCTAAGTTGGTACATTTTATACTTGTTGTCCACCTGTGTGAAATTAAAATACCATCCCAGTATATGATAATAAAACAAATTCGTACGAATAAAATACATTTTATTTTTTATTTTTATTTTTTCCAGTTATTGGACTCTGGCGTACAGCCCAACTTAGAGATGGAAAGACCGTACGTGGATTCGGTTGGTGACTATAACCGGCTAAGACCACGGGAGTACAGCATACCCGAGAAGTCAATAATGGAACTATTCAACCCAACAGCGCAGCACCATCAGAGGCCTAGGTCTTAAGATCACGCGCGAAACGTGAATTTTAATTTTAAAGTTAATTAAATTACAATACATTATATATAAATATATATATTAATAACAAAATGTCGTTTGAGTCCGTTTGTTTTTTTCGATTTGAGATTTTTCTCGCTTTTCAAAGCCGAATAAATAATAATAATAATAATTATACGAGTATTACATCACAACGTTTTTCGTCACTAATTAATAATTTTGCGTAGTCCGTAGGTTTACTTGATTATTGTGCGAACAATCTATTTTTCTCTTCAAAGTGTCAAAATGTGTTTACTTAAAATCTTAAAATACATATATGTTTGAACTGTTCCATTACGTGTTAATGACAAATAAATAAACGTTCGCTAAAATAATGGTGTTAAGTAATTTTTTAAGAGCTCACGACTATCAATACCTACTACTACGTCTTGTGAACAATTAAAATACATTTTTGAACACAAAATTATGCTATTTAGATAATTCATTGCCCACTAATCGTCACAGCAACATGGTGAAAAGCTGTCTGAATGTCATTATATAATGATAGTAACCATTCGAAAGCTCTGTACAATCTTCTCCCGGTGTAAAGTTCAGAAGATTTTTCATATCCCAGAAACCATACATGGGCATTATTACATTATTATTCAATCACTGCGGATTTCCCCGTTAATTTCACACCCGACAAAATAAATAGAAAGCGAGAAATAAACAGATCAAAATGCTGAAAACATATAATTTTAACATCCGTTCTCTGTTAGAATGGCAGTTACCACCATTTCGTCCGTCAGGTCTGCTTTCACGAAAATAATACAACAATGGTTTTAAACGATTGGATTGTGATATATACATTTGGATTATGTATTTTTATGTTCGAAATGGCCGTCGATTAAGTAACGTTTGAAAATCAAATCCTGTGAATATGGTCCGTTAACGCTCCAGCATATTTCCTCCAAAAATTTTAGGTTCTCTTTCCGGAATTTCTTTTTGGAAAATGTATTCTATTTTTAAACAAGTAAGAATCATTGCTCTGAAAACGTATACTCATTTTTATATTATGTAAACAGAGACACATATTGATTATCATTAAAACTAAATTTTAAATAATTTAAATGAATTCATTATTATTCGATTTGTTTTGTATAATTCTCTAATAAATAAAAATAATAGTTAATATATTTTAAGAGATTTTCTATAACTTCAATTTTTTAACTAAGATATTTTTATAAAACTTCAATCTACACTAATACATTATTTAAAATATTTTCAACTTATCACATTTGATAAAATGTAACTGAATAACTCAAACATTTTAACATCGAACAAAATTATCTTTATACCACATAAACTCATTTATTATACCTAGATATATTCAACATTTGATGGTACAAAATATTTATTTATTACCAGATATTTAAAATTAAATTATTTTTTGTCACTAACCAAATCGATCATAATATTATTTAATTTTTCTTCGTTTACGAACTATAATCCAATTATAAATCAAATCTATAAAATCAAAAAAATTACTCATATATTTGCTCCGGTTTCCTAAAAACACGAAATTATTTGTGTCTAAAATATTCTTTTATATACATTTTCTCGTTTATAATGCAAGTTCAGCAAATATTTGTATAATATGCAAAAATGTCATCATAATTATTTTACTTGCGTATACTAACACTAAATTTTCAAAGAATAGCGTTTAAATAATTTTAATATTAATTGAATAATCACTTAACTTTCCGGATCGATGATTTTCTTTTATAGTAAAACTGTAACTTACAATGTGATAAATAAGTACTGCTATAAATTGAAACGTATTCAATTTCGTTAAGTCATTTTGTTCGAATAAACACTGCCTAAAAGACGATAGTGCTTGGTGATAATTATTGAACTGTAACAAATATACGAGTTTATAAAGGTACATAATCTATCCAGTGATTGACGACTATGAGTATTATCAGAAAGGAAAAAAGATAAAAATACAAGAATAACGCGACATTTTAAACTGAAATAAAGCCAGGGCCATACATTTTGATAAGATTTCAGATTGTCAAGTCTTAAAATTTAAGTTACTGGATAATTGTTTGTTTATCCGATATCCGTTTTACGTGTGACAAGTGGCCACTAACTGTAATTTATAAGCGATTTCAATTAGAACTCGTTTGTTTTTATGGTATGTAATATACGTATGATGAGCTCTAATTTATTCAACTCGGAAATCTCTGTGTTTAAAAATGTTTTATCGAATACTGCTGATTGATATTACGTCAAAATAAATAAACTCTGTCTCGGGGCGTGTATACGTTATATATAGGCTTAGGGAGTTATAACTCTAAAAAATACACAAATATGCATGCAAATATGCTTTTAAAATCATTAAAATATGCATTATAATATGCATTTATATGCATTAAAAAAAAAAAATGACCACATAATACACAAAATAAAACGTGTCCACCGGATGTAAATGTATCTTTAAACTCCGAAACAAAACTTTATAGTCGGCTACTCGTAGACTGTTGTACTTTCGGCTTTACACAATGTTACAAAATACGTACAACGTTTTAGGTATGATTCGACGTTGCGTGGTTGTGAGACGCAAAAATGACGTCGGATAATAATCGACTGAACTGAACACTAAATAAATTATCTGTTATTCTATATCAACTATTATCTTTATCAACATCCGGTCGATATCCAGATACGATCGGTACGGATTTATAGTATTGTTTATACTTACACAAAAATTATAACGAGATATGTGAGGTAGTATGCAGATAGCATATTACTGGAAGTATAAAGTACATTTTTTTACGATCGTTTGAAACATGTATATATAGTTATATGTATCTATAGTTTTTAATTTTAAATTTAAAAAAATTGTCAAAATATGCAAAATAAGCATAAAAATTTTAAAATATGCACTCTCCTGCAAAATGTATCAAATATGCAAAAATATGCACATTCAAATTTTAGATCTGATATCATGGCATCGAGAAACGAACTTATTTCGCACTCTACTATATTTAACAATAATTAAAAAAAGTATGGAAATTCTAGAAGTCCCTAAGCTTAGTTATATACTTAGAACATTTTATATCTATTGATACAAATTAGTATAAATATAATTATAGCTTCTTCTCGATATATCATGATATTAATGTCACGTGAATTTATTTTAATGTAACTAATTTCATTAAAGTCGAACAATTATGTATAATAATTTGAAAATTATTTTTTTTTTTTTTTTTTTTTAATGAAGCTTTTCTGCTAGAAATTAAACTTTATATATATATATATATATATATATATATATATATTTATACATAATGTGTGTATGTGTGTGTGTGTGTGTGTGTGTAAACATATTATAAGTATATTTCCGATGCAAAGTGTGAAAATCAGTTGTACGTGTATAAAAAGACTTAGATTAAGATAGGTGTTATTTTTCATTCTTCATAAAAGATAATGAGCTCTACTGAACATGATTGTGTTGGTGAGAAGAATCATTACAAATATTAGGTAAATAGGTAAATATCAATACAAGGTATGTTGAAAATTGATGGTTATGTTCAAGAGGAAATAAAAATGATGTTGATCTCCGGTACGTCGAGTTTAACAAAAGATATTTTTGATGTTAATATTGTATTATACAATGGATTAGGGTTGGGCACAAGAGAATGCGGAGGGTCAAGGCGTAACGTTCAGAAATGACGTAAAACTGGCTAATGGTCGAGATCTGATTATACGGAAAGTACAAAACGTCAAATTCATGTATGTGCACAATCTACGCAAGTAAATTTTGCGACGCCAGTAACTATTCTTATGATTCAAAGCTGTCGGATCAATATCAATGCGAAACTTATAGTGACATACTATGGTATTTGAAGAAAAATTGATCGAGCTATAATTTTTAAAATTTAAAATGATGTACTCAAAAATATTAGAAATTTAGATTTTATATAATACATTTTTGATTATAATTGTATATAATAATCTAATGAACAGTGTAGTATTGATAATATAAATGATTTTGTTACGAGAAAATATAATTTAAAAGGAAACAAAGATAAATTCATTTTTTAGGATTATTTGAAAATAACGATGAGTTATATAACTGTTGTATACTATTTATAGTAATAATGGAATAAACGTGGTTACCAGACGGAAAAGCTGCACATGAAGGTTTTATAACATATTATTATACCTTGATAGGAAGACCATTGCATTGATTATTTTGTTACCTGATATGCCCACATGAATATTTAGTTTACAATTTGAATCACAATAAATAATATGTATTTATTTCAAGTTAATATTACTGTGGTATAGTTGTATCATTCAATTTAAAATATTAATTAAACTAATTGAAACTATTGCCTGTAAAAAATTAAAACAACATAATGTATTTATGTATTATGTATGTAATACACACAATAGTAAATTATTATAGCTAAGAAAAATTAATTACATTAAAAATTAAAATAATGTTTCACAGTATTATTATTATTTTTCCTAAGCGCTTTTTCTCGTCTTATATAAATGTATAATAGCTATGACGTTCAAATAAATTGATTATTTATAACTCCGTCATGCAATCTATTCTTTATGAGTAGGCTTATAAATCGTATTCAATTTTAAAATATTGGTCTTATATTATTACGCCTTTAGTGCTTTTCGAAAATACAATATTAGATTACCAGAAAAACGTTAACGAATTTTACCACGTTAGTCGTATTAGATATTTGTATACATTTGAAATAATTGAAATATATATATATCAAAAAGGTAGTAACACCAATTAAAATTCGGAATTAAATATAACGTATTGAATATCGTATTATACACAAAAACTATTTAGAGATAGTGGTGTATTTTTAGAGGTGGTTTCGGGTTAAATAAATGACTTTCTACGAAGGTACAAAGAAATATAGTATAAAATTATAGGTATCAATTTATGTCATGTGATTGTAATGCTTGTATACAAATATTTGTATACAATATATAATAGTAATATAGTTATTAATTCTTACCTTATATATATTTTTTATAATATTATAAAATTACTTACTTTTTAGGAACATTTTTAACTCCCTCTACAAAAAATTTGAAAACACGCAATTGCCCAAATAAATTAGATAATCAAAGAATTTTATTTGTTCGTATTTAATTCAAAATATCTAAGAAAAAAATGAATATTATAGTTGTTTATATTATTTACGTTTTCTCAACCATAACTAAGTTTCAAAAATTAAAACGATAGTTGATCCCGACTGTTCGTGAAAAATATCATTCACGATTAAAACAATACATAAGGTAAAAACTTATGGTTTTTAGCTTAAAGATGGTATATAGTTATAAAAAGCTGACTACAATTCAATCGAAGTCATGAAAACATACAACTAATATCAATGAAAACTATTTATCATATTGAAGTATATTAAATAAATTACCAATTGAATAACTAAAACAACTGTATGCATTATTATGAGAATAATAGAAATAATCAGAAAATAAAATGTGTGACATAAAAACAATCAACAGGTTGTTCACGATAAAATTAACAGAAATATTTGTATACATATTTACAACGTTACAAAATCTGTTGTAATCTAATTTAAACGAAATTTAGCGGTTGCCATAATTTTTTGGACCTCGCATTCTCAAAACAAAAAAAAAACCAAGTGTCCCATAAAAAAATAAAAAGCATTTTTTGTTACATATTTAAATATAAGCAAATTATTGTCGACCTAAAAATAAATATATGGTAGTGTAATGTACAGTATAAATACTTCTCTTGCGCCTAACAGTTTAAGAAATACTCATCTATTCGATATACTATTAAGTTTAAAAGAAAAATACTGTTCAAGTTTTCAAAATAATTGACAAAATCTAATAAAAATGTATAAAAGAACCGTAAAATATAACGTAACATCGGTTAAAATAAAAATCTAATTATTTTTTAGAAATAAAAAAATTAAACTTTAGAAATTTGTAATTTTTAATAAATATTTATACTACTGATTCCTCTCTGGAGTTGGTTTTTAAAACATTTCTTATACCATTTAAGGTTATTTAAATTGTTCATGACATAACTATTTTTTTTTATGGAATAATTTTAGTTTGACAAAAAATGTTGAAAAGTATTTAAAAGTTTTTCGTATATTCTTCTTTCTTATGAAGGAAAATTATTCATTTTAAATTATTATTTAAACAGATGATAATAATATAATGCCACCCCTAACAAAATGCCGCCCGGATAAATCACCCATGTAGTCTCCCTCTAAATACAGCACAGCATTGCTACGATATAGATATACTGCTGTGTTAATCATTGGTATCAATAAATAAAAATGTATTTTTCTAAATTTGTTTTAGGTTATCGAATTTTATATTTCCCCTCATCATTTCTTTATTCAAGTACAATATTATTGAATTTGAAGTGTTTACTACATGAAAGTATATTCTGAACGAATCGTATATTTACAATATAATGCGACTTAAGTACGAACGTTAGACTATTGATTGACTTGTGTGACACTTTGCAACAATTTTGTAATTTAAACAATTTTTTAACTGTATGACAAAAAAAAAAAACCCGAAACGGAAAAAATCTGTGACTTGTGTCTATGGAACGTTCAACTTCTGCTATTTTCACCGTGTCATATTTTTTATACTTAAGCATGGTGTACGAAAGATAAAACTACCGTGGTTGATTTCGGAGTATCCTAGTTGGGTCCCGAGTACTAGGGGCTAATCGCAGATAATATTCTAGTTGGGTCCCGGATTTTTATAGGTATTACACTAGTTGGGTCACGGATTTTAGAGGTACTATACTAGTTGGGTCCTGAATCATTTTAGACATTACACTAGTTCCTGAATATTTTTTGATAAGTACTACATTATACTAACATTTTTCTTCCCATTTTAACAGATTTATAACAGTCTAAGATCTATTTAGACCACAGGTATGATTAAAAATGTTTTTATAGTTTCTTTTCCATTAAAATATAAATTATTAGAATTGTATTGGTAAAAATATTAAAAATATTAAAATTGTATTAATATTATTGTATAATAATTTTATTACTTAATAATACTTTATATTATTATATAAATTATATAATTTTCAAAAAATGTGGTTCTGTGGTCTAAATAGATCATAGACAGTCCTAAGTCTATTAAAATGGGAAGGAAAATGTTAGTATAATGTAGTACTTACCAAAAAATATTCAGGAACTAGTGTTGTAAACCTAAAATAATTCGAGACCCAATTACTGTAGTACCTAAAATAATTCGAGACCCAACCAGTGTAGTAATTTTAAATTTGGATGCAGCCATTGATTTTTACATAAAATATATTCATCTCAGCCAGGACGAGAAGACCGTTGTAGAGTATCTCGGAATACCCGCGAGCGGTGCAACGCGAAATAAAATTTATTTACGCATATTAAATATGTAATTTTATCTCGTTTGAATAGGTGAAAACAAAGCTCGAGATTTAGTTCAAGAGAAATAAAATTAAGATTGTAGATATGGAGTAAACAAATCTTAAATATTAATATCGAAAAAATAAAGAAATGTAAAACCGCTGGCCGGGTTACCGCATAACTCGAGTCGTCTCTTCGTCTACCTATACTGCCAGTATCTTACCGGTCTAGATACTATCTCAGCGTTTCACACAGCCATTGAATATCATTCACATCAATCACACGAAAACAAATAGCTAGGTAATTAATCATGAAACACGGCGTTCTTGTGGTATGATAACAGTGTAACAATACGATGAGTGAATAAATCGAAAAAAATTAAAAACATAAACTATTGTACTCGTTTTCATTCAACGAATCTACAGAAATATTAATTATCTGCAGAAATGGCAGCCGAACGAGTACGAATGTTATCTAAATTAAATATATTATGCTTGAAAATATCTGCCAAGAATTTCAATCGCTTCAAGTTATCCATACGTTCGTGTTCCGGAGTTTGATTGATCGCTGATTTGGTGTATAAACAGTGATGTTCGGGCTATTACTTTAATTATTTACTTATTGAAGGATTTAGTGTCGAATGCGATTCCTCCCGGTTCACGATAGGGGAAAAAAAGAATCTGAAATACAGAAATAAAACGTTATTATTAATCCATCGTGGGAATCTATCCGAATCAAACGAAATTAAAAATAGATAGACACGAGGCTGTTGGTCGATTAATTACACTATGTAAGTATACCATCCATATGCTTAATTGCTGCTAATTTATTATTTTCACACGCACGCCTTCCTGCTATTACCTACCCGAACGACCATTGTGTTGTATTATTCGGCACAAGAATTCAAACAGATGACAATACTTGATAAACTGATATATATATATATATATATATATATATATATTTATATATTGACTATAGAAAGTTAGATTTTTGAGATTCAAAATAATTATGTTACTTTACGTTGTACTATGGTTATTTTTCTTCATACTTTGCGTCTTAAAAAATATATATGAATATCGACCAATAAAATTGTTTTTTCTCAGTTCGAGTTATTGCATTAATCGACATTTTACTACAATTTTAATGTACTTGTGCATTTCCATGTTTATTAATTTCATATTTAATTTGCTGTGATTGAATAATTAACTTTAGAACATATAAAATAATGTTCTATTTATGTATTTTGCATACTATTTATCAACTTTTATTCCTCTTGGTTTATACATTTATAAATTCTATATTTTTGTTGTACTTATTATGTTTAAATCTATACTTCACGGTGAATATTTTATAAATTTCAAAAGTTCCCGTCGCTTATCTTTCTTCTCTATACAATTATGTAAACTCTCTGGTATAAAATAATAATTGTCTTTTATTCGAGTCATGTGCCAATGTGGAGTGTTTATCTCTAAGGCGGTAATCATTTTGCTGGTCGGTGATTAAAATATAGTTTTTGAAATATACAATTTCGTGCTATGGGTATGATAAGCCACAAGTGTTATGTATTATGTAACAATATGTACTCTTAATTGCGGTTCATATAGCGAAAAACATAATTTATAGGTACGAGTACATCACATTAATATGACGTATACATGATTTAAAATGTATTTTAACGCCACCATAATTTAGAAATACACAGATGTAATATTTATAACTATTTTCAACACCTTTAGAATCTAATGATGTAAATTTTGTATTTTCGAAACAAGCATTAGACATATTTCTCATAATTATTTTTACTTTTCGAAGTCATTGCTTTGTAGAAATTTGCAATGCATAACCACAGAGTTAAAATACTCCCCGAGAAAAACTATGAAAAAAATTAAATAAAACCTTTGAACGACGGTAAGAAATCGATTTCATATGCTCAGATTCCAAGAGAAATTTATCGTCTTCGTAATATCATAAAATACTACTCGAACGGGAAAGTAATTTTTCGGACGGAAATCAAAAATATTTTTTCAATTCCACAGCTAAAAAATACTGGTCGTTTTGCTAAATAACATCAAGTTCGTACACAGAGGGATTGCTGAAAACTATAGAATTTTCGTGAAAAAAAATAGTATGGTATCGCGTAGAGATTATCATTCTTGAGTGCAACGATATAATATATCTGTACAACTATCACGAACGCGTTTACATTATTTTATAGGCTATTAATAATCAATATAATCAGCCTAAAAGTCAATTGAAATAAAACCAAGACGAACGCACGATATCATATCCGAATACCCACGAACAATTTTCAATATATGGTTATTGGTGGTTTTTAGAGACGTCGCAACGTTCATATTTTCATTTATGAATGCAAATCGAGAGGCAATTTGATGTTAACAACTCGCAAGTTTAATGCGATCACTACGGCGATCCGGTGTGTGAACAGTAATTTTCAGGATCGGAAACTCAGGAATAAATCATTATTATTAGTCCGTCGTGGGAATCCATCCGAATCAAACGAAATTAAATATATAAATATCCTTGGAACTGTTCGTCGATCAATCGCACTACGTCAATATGTTCGATTGGTAAAAATTCATTATTTTCAGACGCGCAGCAATAGGCCTTGCTGCCATTACCTACCTGATCGATTGCCGCGGTGTTGGACATTGTTCGGTGCAGGAATGTCCGATGACCATTAAACACGGCGATGGCGTCTGAGGTCTGGCCGAATTATAAATGTGATTTTAATCGTTCGTACGTCATTACATTACTGTCGTTAAGTGGTTCTCCGACCCAAAATCGTGTGTACACGTATGACACCCCGTATTCTTCCTAGACGCGCATTGTGCTCGTGTATAAATATACCCGACGTTAATGTTTCACGACCAGTGTGAAATCAAGTCGAACGGTTCCAGATCAACATTCGAGGACGTATACGCAGAACATAACTACTGCACATTGTAATACTGTCCAGACGCGTTTGGAATTCGTCACTCAGGTAAGCAAAATATTGTTTATTCCCATTTTCAAAATGATATCACGTGATCCGTTAAACTAACGTACACTGCACGTACCCGAGTGCATTATGATTTATGATTTATGATTTATGTGACCGTCAATTTCCGAACAGTCAGTTTTACTCGGAGTTTTGAATCATGTTTTAAACTTTTCTCCTGATTGAGTTACTACGCTCGGTTATCTCAGTACCACCTAAAACAGACCGATAAATTAACATTAGAAAGACATATTAAACTTACGATAAGTCAAAGTGGAATGATGACATTGGGTACTTTCAACAGTCTCGAAAGTACTGTTGGTTTTTTTTTTTTAAGAACGACAAAAATTAATCTATAACACTATCAAAAATAAACATTGTTTTTCGTAAATTAAGCTTACTTTCGAAACAATATAATCAGCAAAAGCGACATTTATAATAAATTCATTCAATCATTTTCAATTTACGATTTTCAAATGCAATTATAATTATTTGAAAACGCGCGTATTTAAATATTGGTATTAATGAAATAATAATTTTAATTTTACTTAGAAAAAATTATACTCATATATTATTAAAATTAAATTCTGTTTGAAACTACAATTTTATAAAATGTTTATTTTATGTCTAATACATCAAATATTTGTTTATAATACTTCTTAAAGCATTCCACGACGAATAGATTGCAATAAATATTAGTTTTTTCAGTGCAATATTTGCATGTTTCCCATCAAAGCATAAATGTTTTAATTATTATAAACTTTTAAATAGAACAAAAAAATGTCGAACAAGATATATAGGGTAAAAATTGATATTTTATGCTTATTAAATTACATATATTCTATTAATTACTATTAATTACAATACAAGCAATTAAGAAACAGTAACATGTGTGGATTTGAAGTTAAATAATTTTATTTGGTATTGATCTCAACTCTTTTATGGCAAAATATGTTTTATTATTTCAGTGTTGTTAAACTTGTGATAAATTGAAAAATCTTGATCTACTTAATACGATATTTTAATAACGCATGGTAACATTTTTAATTTCATTATAAAAATTACACAATGATCATATACTGATTTAACGATAGAATCGTTAACATTCAACTGCGAGTTTCTACTTTAATTTAATATTTTAAATCACCAAATGGGATATTTACAAACGAAATATTGTAAATGTATATTTTCCCGGCTATCTGACCATTGAATCGTTATCGTTTAACAATAATATCAGGTGATTGATTTACTGTTCATAGCCATTTTTTTTTTTTTTTTTTTTTTAATTTTTAATTAATCGATGAGACTGGAAACATGTCAATGTAAGTAAACGCGAAAGTTTTTATACGACCGAACAAAAATTATATTATTTCTGTTTAGTTGAATAGCTTGATGTTGAACTGAAATAAAATTCCATCATACTATTTTTTAATACATTTTGTCTTGAATTGCTTGATAATAATGTAGTACACACATTACCTATTTCATGAAATAATGATGTTTGTGTTTTAAAAGTAGTAATAATTATACACGCTTATATCTTACAATCATTTTAACTAAAAAGAAAATTATACTTCCTTTTTCTGTTATATCTATGTGTTTTTATTCATACATATTGAACAGTTAATTTAAATAATTTTAAATCAAATTTGAAATAAAAATAAAACTTTTACACTAAGCTAATACATAAAAACTGATTAGGTAAAAAAATCTTTTGAAAATTAATTTATAATCCATAAAATCAGATTGATAAAATATTAAACATAAAATAAAAAATAAAAAAACAAAAATTTTATGGGGAACAGATTTCTTTATTGTGAATCGATAACCATTTTCTTAAACAAACTTCAAACTTTACAACCAATGAAGATATAAATATATCTGAAAAAGGAAATATTATCATTATTTCAATCTATGAAACACTTAACATAGGTATTTATTATTATAGGTATACAATTTTCTGAAAGATAATATTTTTACCGTAAACCTGGGTTACTTGGTACATAGTATATGGATAACTTGAATATAAATTGTAAGTTGTTATTATAAAGTTTTTATTGAGCATTATAAATACATTTTTATAAAAATAAAATAAAATATTATTTTAAATGTTTTGATAAAACAATAAAATTCTCCCAAATATTACAAAAATAAATAATACTATACACATAACTATACCTAACCCTGATTTTTTGCTCAGAGTTTAAAAAATATACCATGCTTTTAAATTATTAAAACATTATCTACTCCAGCGCAGTTAATAATTAAAATTCAAAGCAATTTTTTTTTTTTTGCTATGATATTTTAAAAATTATTCAAATATTATCACATCATCTCATAAGAATCATTATTATTGTTATGATCAACTTTTTAACATTTTGACCTTTGTAGATAAGATAGATTACAGCTATTTACCACACTTTTTAATGTTCCATAGAATTATGTGATTTAATTTTCACTACCGTTTTCGTAACAGGAAAAAACAAATGTTTAACAATAGTAAGGTACTTTTTAAATCATTTATGAAGATTTTCACTACATTAACTCTTTATTATTAATGGTTCAGGCTTTCGAACATTATATTTTATATGTACGTAAGAAACGCCCAGTTAATTTAAAAACAAAAATTGTTTAATGAAGTTAATTATCGCTGCAATTCTTAATTAAAAGGAGTTTCTGAAAGATTACTAAGTACATGCTGTTATATAATAATAAATATGTGAAATCTAGTTATTTAGAAATAAAGAAATAGCATAATTCTTGCTATGAGTAATTCATTTTGGTTCCATTAACCAATTAAATAATGAAAAAACATTTTTTCTGTAATTGTAATAAAATAATATTATACAATTTAGCTTTACATCTCAATGTGATTATTTTTTACTTTAATTCAGTCAAAAAGTTGCAAATATAATAACTATACAAATTATTATTGGGCTCGTTCCATTTAAATAAATAAATATACAAATAAATTTTCATATATTTAAAAAAAAAGTTATAAATAAACTACTTCGACATTTTTCGTACACTAAATAATAATAAACAATATGGACATTTTTTTGAACTTATTTAAACTTTATTTTCTTAGTAAATTACTACATACTTTCTTAAATAATTTTTTTTTAATTTGAAACATCTAATTTTGTCCTTAAAAATAATGTGTATATAATTGGTACTGCACTCTATGGCTGGCGTTGAAATCTAAAATAAATACAATCTTAGTTGAATGACTAAAGTTCATACTAAAAATCCCTATAACATTTATATATATATATATATATATATATATATATATATATATAAACACGGGTATATGTATTTTTAACAAAATAGTGTTAAGGTCCGTGTAAATAAAATACACGGATAAATAAACGTTTAAATCGGTGTACTCGTGTATTTGTTACAGACCGTGAACTTCATACCTATTTTAATTTGCCAATATCATTACATAACTTAAAAATACCATTATAGATATGTTTTTAACTCTACATTAACAATAAAACACCATTATGGGCATTGGTTATAAATATTATCATTTATAAAATATTTGGACTTTGTTATTATACAATTAATTATTTCAAAAATAAAAATAAAAAAAACCAAATAATTATGAAAATAATATATAATTATAATAATTTAATTCATACAGCCCTCTCTTAGTATTCATGTATAATAGTATAAAAAATAAAAATACAAATAATCTGCCATATATATATATATCTTAATCATTGTTAAAAGTATCCGGTACTTGTGTGTTATTTTTGTGTGTTGTTTTTAGAATTTCCTATAACCCTCAGTCGGCATTTCCTATGAACCTATTATCTTTTTTTATCATCATAATATATGTATAGGCCACATTTACTTCGAGTCTTCGTGTGGATCAGTTTTTAGCATACAATTAAATAATATTTAGTTTAAATACTTATTACTAGAGTTCGAATTCGAAGGATAAAACCCTTTTTTTAATAATAATAATAGAAAAACAATTTTTATATAAGAATGCATTTCATTTAATATCTAAGACGATAGATGTATTTTTTTCCTTTTTTTGCTTTTTTTACTAATTAATACCTTCTTTGTGTTTGATTTTCAATTTATCTAATTCATACATAGTTTTATACATAGCTTAGGTTTAGCCGGTACACATCGATAAGAGCTTTTGAAGACGGTACATTGTCGATATTATGATTAAAATTATAAGCAATCTTAATTTAGATAACTATTTATGTATGAAGTACGCCCTAATAACTTTGATGGACGTAAAAACATCATTTTTTATGTTCAAAAATATTTTAGCCCAAACAGTCAACGTTTTATTAAAGATAGCTTATCAAAGTACATGATAGTGAATTTTTTTTTAACACAAACTAGTAAGTTTATTTAATTTTGTTGTAATTTTTCTAATTGCTTTTTATAAAAATTAAATGCCTTAATTGGCTTTTTTTTTAATATAGCCTTCAAATTCGAATCCTATTTATTACGTTCATAATCTATATACTCTACATAAAAATGTGTAAAAAAATAAAAATAAAATAAAAATTATACATAGTATATAATGTGTAATGTATATGTATATAAAATGATGTTGGTATATATGCAATTAATAAACCCAAAAATAACTGGACCAATTTTTACACAGCTTTTTGGATAATAGTTCGCATGTAAGGAAAATATTTAAATTCCATCTTTCGGTAGACCCGCTACAATCACCAAAAATCAGTTTTTATGTACTTTTGGTGCCTTGGTAAAGTGAATGAAAAAAAAATTATATTAATTATTAATTAAACTTTTTTTTTGGCATAAATCGAATTCCACGAGGTTAAATTTTTTAGTAAAAATTAATTAATTAATATGACAGTATTGTAACCAGCATAAAAATGGTTTTTTTGGTGGTACAGTTACCAACAATATATTCGATTATTCCATAAATAAAATTCAAATTAAAGAAAATATAATAATAATAATAGTAACAGAATCTCGTCAGTATGAACCATCTTTCATTTTTCTACACTTTTTTCCGTTGAATTTATAGATTCTAGATTACATACATATCATCCGTTCTTACATTTACTAATTTAAATAAATAAGTTAATATTTTATATTTAATGTAAGTATTCATAAACAGGACATATATGTATAATAGACGAATATACAACAATATAAAAGCATTAATGAGTTAGCTAGTATATAGTATAAAAAAATTACTAGTATTATAATATAATAAAAATATGGATTTAATATTTTAAATATGACGATATGAAGATTAAATGTGTTATTTATTATTAACATCGTTTTTTTTTTTATTTTAGGATGAATTCAATGCGGTATCTAATACTTCTGACGTTCATTTTATATGAAGCGCAGAACACACATGGTACAAAACATTTAGAATATCTCAAGTCATTGTTATCAAAACATTTACCGTCGACTACAGATCAATCAATTGTATACGAATTACAACCTGTGTACGATGATGATGATGTTGAAGATGATACAGTAGCTGAATGGAATAAACAAGAGTATTTAATACATGGAAATCCTGTCGATCAACAATCGTTTGATAAGCTTGATATCATCCCTGGTTTAAATTTCGGAACAGTTATAGAAGAAAACCCCAAAACAAATTTGAAAGAAAATGCTGATGGGAATTCTAAAATTCTCTTAAATTCTGAAATAATTTACGAAGCAAATCCTGGAATTATTTCCAAAGCTAATACTGGTACTGATTTCGAGGTAAATTCTGAAATCGATTCTGCAGCGAATCCTCAACAAACATTAGTAAAGGATAAAAACACAGAATGGTTATTGAGCGAGACTACGAGTGAGAAACAACCAGAAATCGTGGATGTCAAGAATAACGTACCTTTATTCAAAGAACTTATTATTCAAAAAATCAACTCAATTAAATCTAACATAAAATTAAAAAATCAACCAATAATCAAACCAGTGGTAGAAGAAATTTCAGAAGATTCATCATTCTTATTAGGAAATGAACCATGCACAAATAACTCAATTACTGAAAAACAATCGACCTCCACAGAAAATCCTTGTGAAACTAAATCTACTACAACAAAACTATCAACTACCACAGAACAACCGTGTATAACTAAATCTACTACAGCGATTCCATCCACCGATCTGAAACCCATCACTACAGAAAAACCATGTATAACTAAATCTACCACAGCGATTCCAACTACCACTCAAAAACCCATAACTACGGAAAAACCAATCATCACAATAAAAACAACCACTACGGTAGAACCCATCATCACCACGGAACCTTACATATCAGAAGAACCTGTCATCTGTGATACATCCCCTACCACAGAAATTCCCATAACGTCCACCACTACAGCGGCACCATCCGTTTCCAAAACATCCACAATCTCACCAAAACCTATTGTTCCGGTAACATCTATCAACACTAAAGGTCCTAACAGTAACACGTTCAATGTCGATATTAATACCACCTGTGAAGAACCAATTATTACTATTCCTTCTCAATATCAAATATCTTTACCACCACAAAGCTACTATTATTCTCCTTTGCCCTATCAATTTTGGCTAAACGAATGTCTGACCCGAAGAAATTGCTTTCCTTCGAACCAGCAATATGCTTCGAATCCGATTCCAGCTCACACGTTTGCTACAAGACCTTTGACCCTCGGTAGTATGCCATACATCGTGCAGGAATACCCAAAGCAGAAAGTCAACTTGGGACACACAAAAGTAATAAATCACATTAACATCGATGCGCGCCCGACCAATTCAGGACCAATCAAACAATGGAATCATTACGGTTACGACTACCAAAGACCAATTTATTATAACTCAAGAACCCCATATGCTCCTCAAACACTCGGATCAAAAATACCATTCAAAACCGTATATTCTAGCTCCGGTTCTGTACACTCGAAACAAACCAATCAACCAATAACTGCGAACCCCACCAACGACAGTGTTTTGTCCACTGAAAAAATCAATATGAGCCAACCGTTAAGTTCGATCAATCTAGGACAACGCATGAAATGGATTAATAACGATTATAATAGACAAAAACTAACTAATAAAAATCCTATATCATTTACATTTGTAACTCAAACATCCCAACCGAAAGTACCTTCTGTTCCTGGTTCCAGTGCAGTATACTCAACACAAACCAATCAACCAATAGTCAGGTATCCCGTTGACGGCAGTCCGTTACCGGCAAATAATATTAAAATCGATACGAACCAGCAATCGTATCCAACTAATCCGGCACAGTCCGAACAATGGATCAATTACGCTCAAAACAACCAACAACTCGTATCATCTAATACACCTCAAACGTCCGGACCAGAAGCCCCTCCCGGAACTGCTATTCCTTACTCCAGTGTACTATACTCAACACCGACCAATCAACCAATAGCTGAGTATCCAAATTACGGTAGTGTTTTGCCGGTCGATAATACAAAGATCGATGCGAACCAACTTTCGTATCCAACCAATCCAGGACAAGCTGAACAATGGATTAATTATGGTTATAACCATCAAAATATCGTACCGTCTTATATTCCTCAATCGTCCGGACCAGAATCACTGTTCGAAACCTCTATTCCCAACTCCGGTGCGGTGTTCTCGGCGCAAAACAATCAACCAATATCCGGATATCATGTCGACGGTAGTGTGTTACCGGACAATAATATTAAAATTAATACGAACCAGCAATCGTATCCGACTAATTCAGCACAAGCCGAACAATGGATCAATTACGCGTATAACAATCAACAAGCTCCATCATCTAATCCTCCACAATCGTCCGGATCACAGACACCGTCCGGAACCGCTATTCCCAAGTCCGGTACAGTGGACTCAGCGCCAAACAATCAACCAATATCTGAATATTCAAATGTTGGTAGTGTGATACCGTCCAATAATATTAAAATCGATACGAATCAGCCATCGTATCCAATCAATCCGGCACAGGCCGAACAATGGACTAATTACGCTCAATACAATCAACAACTCGTACCATCTAATCCTCCTCAATCGTCTGGAGCCGCTATTCCCGAATCCGAGGCAGTGTATTCAGCGCCAAACAACCAACCAATATCCGGGTATCGCGTTGACGGTAGTGTGTTACCGTCCAATAATATTAAAATCGATACGAACCAGCCATCGTATCCAATCAATCCAGCACAGGCTGAACAATGGATCAATTACGCTCTGAAAAATCAGCAACTCGTATCATCTAATGCACCTCAAAGGTCCGCACCAGAAGCCCCTTCCGGAACTATTGTTCCCGGCTCCAGTGTGATATACTCAACACAAACTAATCAACAAATAGCCGGGTATCCCATCGACGGTAATGTGTTACCGGCCAATAATATTAAAATCAATACGAACCAGCCATCGTATCCGATCAATTCAGCACAGGCTGAACAATGGATCAATAACGCTCAGAACAACCAACAACTCGTATCATCTAATGCGCCTAAAACGTCTGAACTAGAAACCCCGTCCGGAACCGCTATTTCCTACTCCGATGCTGTGTACTCGGCACAAAACAATCAACCAATAACCGGGTACCCCGTTGACGGTAGTGTGTTGCCAGCTAGTAATATCAAAATCGATCCGAACCAGCCATCGTATCCGATCAATTCGGCACAGGCCGAACAATGGATTGATTACGCTCAGAACAGTCAACAACTCGTTTCATCTAATCCTCCTCAATCGTCTGGACCAGAAACACCGTCAGCTATCCCCAACTCCGGTGCGGTATACTCAACGGAAACCTTCGTACCGATCACTGTGTATCCAACCGGCGACAGCGTGTCACCCGGTGAACAGACAAACCTCGCGAATTCTGAGTACATTGATCCGAACCAGTATTATGATGCGATGAGCGAAGCTAACGGTTCCGGTGCCCCGTTACGAGGAGACATCCGGTTCGGAGAAGATTACACCACACAGAACACGTACGAGCAATCGGGAAGGGACGAAACACTACCTAATACGTTGAAACAACGCAGACAAACAGAAGTCAAAAATAATAAGCAGACTTCCGTCCGAAACAGCAGTGACATAAAAATGCCGATATCAAAATTACCGACACCAGATAAACCGGTTATTGAACATATTGAAGCTGAAATTCCGGCCGCGTCAGAGGCTAAACCCAAAACGCCATTGGCCCAAACCAAAAAGCCCGTGGTAAAAGGCAAAGCACCAACCGTTGAAATTGAATCACCAAAAGCTGGTAAAACTGTAACCCCTGTAACTATAACCAAAACATCAGTTATCAAATCCGACGACAACGTCAACTTAAAGTTGGTGAAGAAAATGTTAAATTCCAAATCAGGGTGACTTCCCCATTAATTTTACTTTACATAATTTATTAATTTATTCTAAAATAATTTTAAAGAAAAAAACATACAATATTACTTTAGTCTATAATTTTTTTTAAATCAGTATAGGGTACATTTTAAGACAGACTGATTTACAAACTAGCTGTATATTTTTAATCGCATTATACATTTTATTATATTATTGTGAACGTAATCTTCAGTTAAAAATAGGTACCAGATCGAACGGCCTCTGGGTCACTTACAATATAAATGGATAATAAGGCAATATTGATGAACAATGGTTATCGTATGTGAAAAACCTCTAAAAATTCGGTACAGTCTAGCTGATTGTATACGGGACACATTAATTATTATACAATAACCCCTGTTATGCTTTAAAATATTAAAATATAAGTGTTATGAATAAATCTGTAATCATTTTTTGTTTTTTTTTTTTTTTTTAATGAAATATGTGTTTTAAGTTAAAATTCAAAGTTATAATGTAAGTTTAAATTATTGTGTAATCTATTGTAAAATAAAAATAATTTAAATAAAAAGTCTAATAAAATAATATAATTTTACAATTAATACCTACAGTATGTCATTCACTACATTTAAAATAAGATTTTTTTTTTTAGATTTTCATTACATAAATATGTTTTTAAAATACAGCTCTTGTATATTATTGTAGATTATAGTTTTGATTATTGTGTTTAAATAATAATTTTAATTACAAATATAAGCAGGTACTCTTATAAACTATACAAAACCGTAAAATCAATAATAATTATTTAATTATTGACACGGTATTTTCAACAATTATAAAAATAACAATAATAATATAAAACCATTAATATGTTTTAAATCATAACAAACTTTTTATTAGATAAGCACTATCAAATAAGGTTGTTGAGTAAATTGATTATCAGATATATTATTTTATTATATTTCGAGCACAGAAAATATCATTGATCAATGAATCTACTAATCAACAATCATAATGAGCCAATAAGTTATTCAATATTTATGTTCAAAGTTTTAAATTTAAATAAAAACGATTATTTAAATCTCTTAAACCTTTGAGTTTATTAAATTGTTTTGAAAAATAAAATAAATTATAATAAATTATTAGTGGTTTTCAGAATGATGTCAGGTATAATTAAATATATTATATGTTAATTCTGTAACGACTAAGAAAACTATATGTACAATATAAATTAAATTAAAATAATTATTTAATATATATTTAAAATAAATAAGTTATACTCGAAATCAAAATCGTGAAAATAAATATCATAACAACAACAATAATAATTATTATACGTAACGATAATCAGTTGGGTGCTACTATTGTAGGCTTATGGAAAAACAACCATTACGATATTGTTCGATTGGTTTAATATGATAATGCACATCATATTCGTGTAATGATACTGGCAACTGAAAACAAATATTTCGTTAATAATATAATAATATAAAAGTAAATAATTGGCAACTGAATAAAAACGATAGTGAAAATTAATCTCTCGCAATCCAGCGAAAACGTTTTGGCACTAAAGAGTGCGATCGTTAACCATACGTAATTATTACACAAAGTAAAATAAAAGTAAGTGTGTGTATCAATCAGGTTCATCTTTTCAGGTCAGAATCATCAATAGAAATAAAAAACAAGTAACCATCACCAAGAAAGAACACGGTGGTGGGAAAAAATGGAAGGAGCAGTTATATAAAAAGTGCTGTGAAAGCGGATCGTGAACCGAGTGATATTCCATTGCGCACACCGAGCGATGTGTCGTGTTACAGTTTCATAGTATTAAATAAAACGCGATAATTAATAATATTTTTACAGTTTATTATTAAAACGATTTATAAAATTCTCAAAAAGTCATCGCAATAAACAATTTTTTTTTTACGTTTAAATTTTCAGTCACATACGTGAAGTGTTATTTTAACTATACTAAGACATCAGGCAAAAGAACACATAATGACCACGTGGTGCTCCGCAGTAATGGTTAGTACCGAAAATTATAGTAATAAAACTAATAATATTAATGATAACATCAAAACACATGCAATACGCCATTCGATTGGACAAAATAATTATTATTGGATATCATGTGTACACAACATAGTTATGATATTATCATTGTTATACGCATGTTTTCATTAGGTATTAGTTACGGATGAATATTAAGCGTAGCAGTGGATAGTTTCGATACATTTTGCTCCAAAAGAAATTCGCATAAAATTTAGTATCATTTGTAATTTTTCGAAATCCAAAAAAACTATCGAATTTCTTTTCGTTCTGGTCCATAATGTTTGCTTAATCATTAGGAAAATGGGCGGAATTCGGAATGTTCTCGTACAGTCAAAAACGAGCAAATACAAGACCGGATGAACGGTATTGGGTTACTCGACAGGGCATAACTACTGTTATCCAAACAGTAATGCAAAGTCCCCAAATATCACAACGTTATCTCTGGTTAACAATAAACTTACGCGTCGCGAAAATAACGTTATACCATTAGCATTATTGCCCGGTATCTGTTGTATATATGAGTTTGTGTGTGTGTGTGTGTGTGTGTGTGTGTGTGTGTGTGTGTGTGTGTGTGT